TCAAGATAAAACGGCACGGCTATTTCTGGCCCACGATGGTCAATGACTGCGAGAAATTTACGGCGAAGTGCGAGAAATGTCAGCGGCACGCTCCAACAATTCATCAACCTACCGAGTTGCTCTCGTCAATTTCGTCACCTTATCCGTTCATGAGATGGTCGATGGACATCGTCGGACCTCTACATCGCTCGAAGCAGAAGCGTTTTCTGCTCGTCCTCACGGATTACTTCTCCAAATGGGTCGAGGCCGTTTCTTACGCAAGCATAAAGGATGTTCAAGTCGAACACTTTGTCTGGAAAAATATCATCTGCCGCCACGGGGTCCCTTACGAGATAGTCACCGACAACGGATCCCAGTTCATCTCAACACGCTTCGAAGCCTTCTGCGAAAAGTGGAAAATCCGCCTCAGCAAATCTACGCCAAGATACCCTCAAGGGAACAGACAAGCTGAAGCAGCCAATAAGACGATCCTCGACAGTCTGAAAAAGAGGCTCGACGCCAAGAAGGGACGGTGGGCAGACGAACTCGAAGGAGTCCTTTGGTCTCATTGGACAAGTCCGCGCCGAGCCACCGTGGAAACTCCATTCGCTTTGGTCTACGGATCGGAGTGCGTAATTCCCCCCGAAGTGGATTTCCCAGGTATCCGACGAAGACTTCTACCAGGACAGGAGGGCTTGAACCACTTAATGATGCTAGATGAGCTCGACCTAATCAACGAGAAGCGCGATCAAGCCTTAATTCGAATCCAGAACTATCAACAAGCGACGGCGAGATACTACAACAAAAACGTTCGAAGTCGAAGATTCAAAACAGGGGAGCTCGTCCTCCGAAAGGTCTTCCAAAACACTGCCGAGAAAAACGCAGGAAAGCTCGGAGCAAATTGGGAAGGTCCTTACAAGGTCACAAAAGTGGTTCATCCAGGAGTCTACGAACTCGCGACACTAGCTGACGAGGCGATTCCAAGATCATGGAACGCAATGCATCTGAAGAAATACTATCACTAAGGATGCAGCACGACCAGCATGAACTACGGGACGGCTTTATCCCTGCAAAGGGTACGTAGGCAGCCCGTCCTCTGACGGGTTCAGCTGTCCCCCTCTAAAAGGGGGGGGGGGGGGAGTGGGTACGTATACACATACCTCTTTTAACCCTACAATTTTAGCTGTTTTAGCTCGCTACTTAGGAACATCGCCACTTCGGCACATTCTCAGCTCATTTCGAATCTCATTTTGGATTTCTAGTTTGTTCATTATCGCTTCGGCTAGTGTCTCATTCTTTCTAAATCAGCAACTTATTTTAACAAGCTCGGATTTTTAAATACTTTCACTTATCACTTTGGCGAGTAATCATACTACTTCGGCATGATATCATGACCTGATTACCTCGGACCTTTGTTGGTCCTCAGTTTCAGTTCGGCAAACTAAGCCTCCGAACGCATCGTCTCGTTGCTGGCCACAACGGGGCAACAAACACAAAGTTCTCTAAACGGACTTTCACCACCTTTCCTAGGACGAGGGTGCAAGTTACATCCTCTATGGATAACAATGAAGCGCACTATACAAATATCAGACAGAAAACGTATCAGATCGCCACGGTTTACTATCGCACACGAGAATATAAGTCGAGACTACATCGCTTTCTCAAAAACCAAAGTAAACTCTTAAAACCCGGATAAACATACTCATCCTCTCGGAAACACCGGTCCATTAGTCAGGATCGATAACACTTCATCCTTGGCTAACCAAAGGGAAAACGCCTTGTCGTTTACATGGCTCGGCACCACGCAAAGAGAAAACGCCTCGTCGTTTACACGGCTCGGCACCATGCACGGCGAAAACGCCTCGTCGTTAAAAACGGCTCGGCGTTGCTACGAAAATTTGCTGCAACATTATCACTTAAAATCTTTCCAGCATCACCTAAAGGATGTTCCACAAAACTAACTCCCAGCTCGAGATTAAGAATACAAATGAGACCCTTAAACAACTCAACCCTTAGCCCGTCTTTCTATCGATTTCGAAGAATTCGGTTAAGGAAGCAATCAAAATCATTCTCGACAATCTTCTCTAAGCCATTGGTTTTCACAGATATTTGCACAAGTCATTAAAAATAAATGCATCCAAACGAAAAACAGCTAAAGGAGAAAATATATCCATAAGCAAAAATGAATGTCGGGTGGATAAAGCCGTCCAGGCATCGGTTACAAAAAGAGTTCAAAAACGTACAAAAAACCTAAGTACAAAAGCATGAAAGACGAAACAGGGAAAAGCAGAGGATATCAGGCCGCGGACTGCGTCTCACGTTCAGCGAGGAGGTTTGAGAGGACTGGCGTGCCCGCGTTTGATCCGTTCGGATCTACCACGCCTAAGTTGGCCGCTGCCTCTTCGAGCGGCTCGTTGCCGAGGGTGGTGTCGACCAAGTCCGGCGATACGGGAGAGTAATACAGCTCGCCCCGAATCTCGGAAGCAATACGCTCGTACGCCTCGTCGTCGGCATACTCACTCTCCCAGCTTTTCAGCTTCGCCTCCTCGTCGTCAAGCGTCGGGGCGTCCGGCTTCTTCAGGTCGGCAATCATCGCAAGATTGCTCTTGATCTGTCCCAGATCGTTTTTATCATTTTGGCCTTCTCGAGCTTGACCAAACCCTCCTCCACCTTGGCGAGGCGTTCCTGAAACTTCGCCGTCAGCTCGTGCCTCGCCTCCTTTTTCGCGCGTTTGACCTTGGCTTCGAACAGCGCGTCCTTTTAAGCTACGCCACCTCGGCGCTTTTGGCTCTCCTTGCTTCCTCCAGGCGAATCACCGAGGCGGAAACTTTGTTGACGTCTGCTCGAAGAACTATCTTCTTCTCTTCCAACCTTGACACTCGGGTCATCGCCTCGGTGAGTTTCCCCTTCGCTGCCGCGGCTTCGTTTTGCGCCTCTTCCAGCTTCACCTTTGACGCTGCGGTCTCATTTCGGGCCTCGTCCAAGCGACGTTTGACCTTAGACAGGTCCGCCTCATACTCGGCCATCAGGTCGTTAATGGCCGCGACAAACTGCAAAGAACAAACTCGCGTTAAACACTTAGCAAAAGTTTACGAAAATAAAGGACAGCGAATAGAAACGTACCTTGGTACCACGCTGCGCCATCGCGCCGTATGACCTCGGCCTCCTCAGCTTCTCCGGAGGAGTCCGGAGGAGGAAGACGCGTGTTCGCGTTATTTACACGCGAGAACATGACGGCAGAAGCGTCGGGGTCGTCAACAACCAATTTACGTGCGGCGGGGTCCCCGAGCGTCGGTTTCCGCCTCTTCTTGGATGGCTCGTCCTTCTGGACGGCGACGCCTTTCCCCTTGTCAGTAGCCGAACGTTTTCGGCTAAAGTCATGCTTCTGGACGACCGAAGTCGGTGGCCTCGTCGACTTCGAGAGGGCCAGGATGGCGGATTGCGAAAGAGTCTTACTCCGCGCCACCGAGCCGTCCCCGGACACCTCGGGGATAATTTCGCCCGGTTTCACCTTGGGCACTATGTCTTTCTCAGCCGCCTCGGCAGTGTCGCCTTCTGCGGCTCGGGCATTACAACTTATGAATGAACGGGGCTCCATCAAACGAGTAAGGAGTGACCATGGTGGAGAGTTTCAGAACGAGTTCATGAAGTTGTTTTGTGAGAGTCATGGGATAGCCCATCAGTTTGCTGCACCTAGAACCCCACAGCAAAACGGTGTAGTAGAAAAAAAGAATCGAACAATTCAGGAGATGGCACATGCGATGATCCTTAGAAACCAAGTTCCCAAGCGGTTTTTGGCAGAAGCAGTCAGCACCGCATGCTACATAATAAACTGGGTGTACATGCGAAAGGGAACATCAAAAACCCCTTATGAATTATGGAAAGAAAAGACACCTAACGTAAGTTACTTTCATGTCATTGGGTTCAGGTGCTACATCTTGAATGACAAGGATCATCTCGGGAAGTTTGACTCACGGAGTGATGAAGGTATCTTTCTGGGCTACTCAGGTCATAGCTCAGCCTTTCGAATATTCAACATAAGGACAAAGGTTCTGGTTGAGTCAGCCAATGTGGTGTTCGATGACTATGCTCATATGGAATGGGAGAAGCCTCTGATCGGGAGTGACTCTGAAGGTGATGAAGTGGACCGAGTAACACAGGCTGCAGAAGTGATGCAACAGCCATCTGTGACAACCGAAGAACCTCAGAACGTGACTCAAGGGGCAACCAAGCAGGTCCATCGGAATCATTCAGCCTCAGATATTATTGGAGAGGTGAATGAAGGGAGGAAGACTCGTGGCATCCAGCTAGATTTCAAGAGGATGGTTGGGAAGTTCTCTGAAATGGTGCTATATTCGTGCTTTGTGTCAGTGATTGAACCAAAAGATCACAGACAGGCACTGCTGGACGAGTTCTGGATCATTGCCATGGAACAAGAACTGGAGCAGTTTGTTCGAAATGATGTGTGGGAACTAGTGCCACGACCGATGGACTGCAACGTTGTAGGAACCAAGTGGATCTTCAAGAACAAAATTGATGAGAATGGAGCTGTGGTACGGAACAAAGCTCGTCTGGTGGCTCAGGGTTACTCTCAAGTAGAAGGGGTGGATTTTGAAGAGACATTCGCACATGTAGCACGGCTTGAGTCAATCAGACTCTTTCTGGGAATGGCATGCATACTCAACTTCAGGGTATATCAGATGGATGTCAAGAGTGCTTTCTTGAACGGTCTGATTCAGGAGGAGGTGTATGTGGAGCAGTCGAAAGGGTTTGAAAATGCAGGCAACCCAAGTCAAGTCTACAAGCTCAAGAAGGCGTTGTATGGACTGAAGCAGGCACCCCGAGCTTGGTATGAACGATTGACGAGCTTCCTAGTTCAAGAAGGATACATGAGAGGAAGTGTGGACAAAACCTTGTTCATTCTGGAGCAGAAAGATAAGATAATGATTGTCCAGATCTATGTGGACGACATAATCTTTGGAGGGACTTTTTAAGAGCTAGTTGATGCATTTGTTGCAAGCATGACTAGTGAATTTGAGATGAGTATGGTGGGTGAGCTTAAGTACTTTTTGGGGCTTCAGATTACTCAATCAGAGGAAGGTGTCTTTATCTCACAAAGCACCTATGCCAGAAATCTCTTGAAACGGTTCAAGCTTGACTCAGCCAAAGAAGCAAAGACTCCAATGAGCACAACCACCAGTCTCACACGAGATGATGAGGGAACAAGTGTTGATCCAACCTTGTATAGAGGAATGATAGGGAGTCTCCTATACCTCACAGCAAGCAGGCCTGATCTGTGCTTAAGTGTTGGCATATGTGCTAGGTACCAAGCTAAACCAAAGCAGTCTCACCTTGAGGCTGTAAAGAGGATCATCAAGTACGTCATGGGCACAGTTGATCTAGGTATCTGGTACTCAAAAGGATCGAATCAGAACCTAGTAGGATACTGTGATGCAGATTGGGCAGGAAGTGCTGATGACAGAGAAAGCACCAGTGGTGGATGTTTCTTCCTTGGGAACAACCTCATCTCGTGGCTCAGCAAGAAGCAAAACTCAGTGTCCCTCTCCACTGCAGAAGCATAATACATTGCCATGGAAAGCTGTTGTAGCCAACTACTGTAGATGAAGCAGATGTCCGCTGACTATGGAATGGATTCAGGTCCACTTCTTGTGTACTGTGACAACAAGAGTGCTATAAGCATCTCCAAGAACCCTGTGCAACACTCAAGAACAAAGCACATCGACATAAGACACCACTTTATCAGTGAGTTAGTGGAAGAAAAACAGGTAGTGATCGATCATGTTGTCACTGAATCTCAACTGGCTGATTTATTCACAAAACCATTGGACTTTAACCGTTTTGTCACTTTGAGAAATGCGATTGGTGTTTGTGGAATCTAACAAGTCTTTTGAGATGTGCATAACTGATACAGGTACAGACTCAGGATGAACATAAAGTTTCGATTCAGTTTTGAGGGTTAAAGGTCGGAGGAAAAGAGCTACCTATCTTGTCGTCATGTCTCGACATCAGTACAGGTTTCACAGAGAGAACCAAACAACCTGGAAGCAATGTAAGTCAGTCTTTGAGAAGTCAAAGTGATAAGGCTGAGTTACAGATTCATCAGTGCTGCTGAGACAGGCTCTACATAAAAAAAAAAGGAGACCTGTCTGAGCTAAAGAAAAACCAAGGTAGAAAAAGAAAGGAAGCTACAAGTCACGGTGTATCCTATTCAGAAGAAAATACACCGTGAAAATGAACCAGGGTTCTCTCTTGCTGAATAGAGGTTGAAAACTGATGAAGAACATGATAAAGACAAGGTAGTGTGAAAGCTAGTCTCAGTATCAAATCTGACAAGGCACAAAGAATCAAGAAGAAGCTGAGTGTTCATTCGAGTCATGTGCTGAGTCAGTTTATGCATCATCCGTGAATCTGGGTAAACAAACTGAACTAAAAAAAATTATTTTCAAAAGCCAGTTGAGGAGTGATGGTGTGAACGATTATTGATCATGTTGGTAACCACAAAATTCTTCGGATTAAATGTGTCAATGATTGTCGTGTTCTATGTGGTGTACTAACGGTTTCTCTTAGGCAAATATGTCATGGTTAAACAGGAAGTGGGCCGTGGACAAATGATGCTCATGCAAGTCGGCCCAACAGCAGCCCATGAAGAAAAAGGAAAATTAAAACAGAGGAGAGGGAAATTGAAGTTGCTATATTTGCAGGAGAGGAAGAGGAAGAGACACAATGCTGAATTGAGCCAAAACCCTAGGTGCAGAGAACTTGTGTGACTCAATTCAGAGCATCTCAGTCTAGATCCTTGCATAAAATGGTGTCTGCAACACGAAGAGGGCTCATCAGAAAGAAATCGAAATCAAAGATGGCACATGCAACAGGTGATGCTTCGTCTCCTCATCTAATCGACGGATTGAGTGGGGAAGAACAGATTCCGCCGGTGATTCAGAGTGAGGGAAGGTCTGAAGCAGGGAAGGAGGCTAAAAGCGAGAACGAATCATTCGCTACTGCAGACGAGGGCGGAAACTCATCAGCCAAATCATCGGATGATCTAGAAGAAGAGAATCCGCTTCCTGACGAAGCCCAGGTTGAATCGATGGCACAGGAGGAACTAAACGATGCTGTGAATGAGCCTGAAGCAAAAAAGAAAGAAAGCCCAGAAGCCGAGACTGCTTCCCGAGGAGCTGATCAGTTGAGGGAGGATAGAGAGTCTGCGCCGGAGACTCAAACAGAGACTGAGCCCGAGGTCAAAGAAAGGACGCGTTCTGGGGACAAAGAAAGGAAGAGGTCTGCCATCTGAGACAGACGAACGACCAGAGAGGTGTTGGTTCAGGAGCAAATCGACGAGGTCAAAAGAAAGCGGAACTTGGCAATGGTGACAGTTCCTGCTGCAAAGCGAGTTCGGAAGAAGAAGGGAGGAGCCACACCCGCAGACACCTTAGAGCCAAGGACCGAACCAACTCCAACCATTCCTGGCACAGAAGCTGAGTCAAGCCATAACAAGAAACAGAAAAAGAAGAAGGCAAACCTCCAATAATTCGGTTCATCCTCTCACTGACACCGTTTTGCTGTGGTGTTTTCCTAACAGTGAAGTGTCTTTGAATGCCATGTTCCTCACAGAACTTCTGGAACTCCCCATCAGTATACTCTGTGCCATTATCTGATCTCACATACTTAACCTTCTTCTCCACCTGATTTTTGACTTCAGCCTTCCAAACCTTGAAGTTGGCAAAAACTTCAGATTTTTGCTTTAAGAAGTACACCCAAACTTTCTTGGAGAAGTCACCAATGAAGATGACAAAGTACCTAGACCCTCCCAATGACAGTTCCCAAGTTGGACTCTACACATCAGAATGAACATAGTCTAAAAGACCCTTTGTCGTGTGCTGTCTTGTCCTGAACGAAACTTTGGACTGCTTTCCTATCACACAGAACTTGCAGAAATCCATCTTGCAATTCTTTAAACCATCTAGAGGACCTCTTTTATAGAGTTCAAGCAATCCATGCTCTCTTATATGCCCCAGGCGCATATGCCAAAGAGTCGTGCTATCAGATTCAGACACAGCAGCTGCAGCTCCACCTACAACCACGCTCCCTAACATCCTGTAAACGTACCCAGTTGTCATATTCCCTTTAATCACTACCATAGATCCCTTACAGACCTTCAAAAAGTCTTCATCTTCATAACCTCTGAGTCTGAATCCGTTTTTGTGAAGTATACCCAAAGAGATCAAATTCTTCTCAACTCCTGGAACATGCCTAACATCAGTCAATGTTCTGATGATGCCATCATGCATGCGAAACTTGACCTCTCTAGAACCAATGACACCACATGACATGTCGTTTGCCACCTGAACAGATCTCATGTTTCCACTCCTATATGTCTCAAACCATTCTCTGTGAGAAGTCATATAGAATGTTTTTTCGACTGTAATAGCTGTCACCAAAGTCTCGAACTGAGGAGGAAGAGAACACAGAAAGATCATGGCTTTATCCTCGTCCTCAATTTTAATATCCACACGCTCCCGTATCTAGTATCCAAGAGTCTGTGTGATCACCAGATGTCACAGCCAACAAGTCGCCTACACTATCATCTGAATCCTCCTTCTGAACCATGTTTGCAGAACCAGATCCACCATTCTGTTTTCTGTTAGGATAATCCCTTCGATAATGGTCTTTCTGACCACAACCAAAGCACAATGAATTCTTCCCTGGCTTAGACTTCGACTTGTCCCTTTTACTTCCATCCTACTTCTTTTCTTGCCTTCCTCGCTGCTGGTTGCTACTCACGTACAAACCATCACCTTGAGACTTGTCCAACAGGGATTGTCTTGTCGCCTTTCCCAATGGGATTGCAGCGAAGTACAAACCGTCTCCAGCGATATGGTCGTTTTTTCGACTGTAATAGCTGTCACCAAAGTCTCGAACTGAGGAGGAAGAGAACACAGCAAGATCATGGCTTTATCCTCGTCCTCAATTTTAATATCCACACGCTCCAGATCTCCAATGATTAGTTGAAGTTGTTGACATGAGCAATAAGATCGCCTGACTCTGCCATTTTCAACCCATACAACTTCTGTTTCAGATACAGCTTGCTGGATAACGATTTCGACATGTACATCTTCTCTAACTTATCCCACATCTCCTTGCAAGTCGTGATGTTCATCACCTGATTGGTGATATCGTGAGAGACAAACTCGAATCGTCGAAACAGCTTGATCCTGCATATCGTCCCAATCATCCTTCTCGATCTTGTTCGGCTTCTTCTCTAACAGCGCATTCTTCATATCCTGCTGCGTCAGCAGATCCTTGACTCGACTTTGCCATAGACCGAAATTCTCTTTCCCATCGAACCTAGGAACATCGAACTTAAGAGAATTCCCTTTCGTCATGACACGCGGAAAACCTTGAATTCTGATACCATTTGTTGTGAATCAAACTAAAGAAAGCAATAATCTAAGAGAGAGAGAAATGGCAAATTGAGGCAAACACCTGTTTAAGGTTTTCTTATTATTTGTATGAATGTACAATTACAAACCTTAAACCTTGTATTTATAACTTCAAAAACCTGATTTCCAAATTCACTAGAAAAAAGAAAACTTAATTCTAACCTTATAAGGATCCTTTTAGAATATTTTGTCACTTAGAAACAACAATTTGTTATTATCGGCTTTGTTTCTTGGGATGTTTTATCATCCGCTGGTTCTGTGTGATCCGCTGCTTTGTTGTAACACTTTGATGATCAATATAACGAGAAGAATTGTTATTGTATTTCGTGTTTTAGTCCTATATTTTTTTCCCACACGAGCACACCAACTTCTTGATCCACCTCCCTACGAGATGACTATAGATGTCAAAATTTCACGTCACTTATTTTGTGTCTTGATTTTATGATAAAAAAAAGGAGGGAACTCTTATTTTCGTTGTAATAATCAAGGATCAATATGATTCGAAATGAATAAACGTAATGATCTTATTGATGTGAGAAATTGAGCTAGTACAAGTGTTGATTTAGAGAGAAATTGTGTGATGTGAACTTTACCCTCAATAGAAATTTAATTTAATGAATTGAAAACATATTGAGTTGAAATCACAATGAAAAGTGCATAATCTAAACACGTCAAAAAATAGAGCATAATCTAAGACTTGAAATCTATAGTCGAACTCGTACCCAAATATGTGAAAAACTTTTGGATCCGATGGAAAGTCAAGGCAACCACAAAAAGCAAATCATTACTTTTTTGTTTTGTTTGTACATTTGCGATCTTGCAAACTTTATTCAGTAACTTATAACTTTAACGTGATGATCAACTTCAGTCTAAATTTAGTAGTAATGGATTTTAGGCTTTCAAATACATAAAGTAGGCTTGTTGCATTTTCTTCTGCATTCATAAACGCTATAACCTTAAACTTTGCATACGAATAAGATTTGATTGTCTCAACCAAAACGGAAAACTACTTTTTACACAACATAAACGGAAAGGAAAAAACCAAAAAACTCTAATTAATAAACAGCAAATCGTTCGAGAAACATTGGTTATTGACTCACTAGAAAAAGAAGAAAAAGAAAAAAAAGAAACAACAATGCATATATTTTAGGAAAAAAAACCTACTTTAAACTTAAACTACTACTTGTTCCATAATAAACTTACATAAAACCCCAACCAATGATTCAATCTCACGACTCCAAATTTTTAAAACCACCATAAAGCTCTTCTTGCTCTCTTTCTTTGAACCGTGTTGTTGTTTTTGTTGTCAGTTTTTGTTTTTCGAAACTACCTCTTTGGAGGCCTATCATCATCTTCATCTTCACTATCATCCTCTTCATCTTCCTCAGCTGCTCCTCTCTTCCGCTTGGGAGGAGCCTCAGATTTTCCAGCACCAGAATCATCGTTCTCCTCGTCTTCTCCTTCATCAACGTCTTCTTCCACACCATTCTCCTCCGGCTCAAAATCACTCGCGTCCTCTTCATCTTCAGCCCGACCAACCGGCCTCACTAGGTACTCTGTTCCAAGATCCTCCTGCAACAATTCCATTACCAACAAAACAAAATCAAACACAAGACCTTCTCATGAGAATATGATCAGTCCTTTATCTATTAACAAGAACAGAGTCATGCTTATAACAATCAAACAACAGAGTCAAAAGAAGAATATGATCAGTTCTTTATCTATTAACAAGAACCACAAAGCCATAAACTTTGATAGCAGAACATGAGAATCCAAAATCGAATCTTTCTAGTGCACGAATCCTTAATTAAGCAGAGACAGCAATTGAGAACAGAGTTTTAACACACTGCTTCTAAAAGTTTTAATCAATGGAACAAACAGAACAGTACAAAAACATCACTTTTTTATTTTGGGGAAGAAAGTATAAACCCTAATTTGGGGTAAACAGAACCAATTTCTAATTACAGTATAAACAGATCCAGTCACTCTTCAGGAAAGATTCAGACTCCTAATAAGCTATTGAGCCACACAAAAAAAAACCCTAGATCTACAATTTCATGATTAAACCCTAAATCAATTTCATGAATTTAACACCAAAAAAAAGCAAAATCAAAATTAGAAACAAAATTGATTATACCTCATCTTCACCGTCGACATCCTCGTCATCATCATCATCGTCGTCGTCGTCGTCATCGTCATCACCGTCGTCGTCGTCTCCGTTTCCATCCTCATCACCTTCTTCATCTTCGTCTTCTGCAGACTGTACCGGAGGCCCACCTAACGACTGCAAAACCTGGACCTCATCGTCGTCATCTTCCTCCTCATCATCATCGTCTCCTTCACTTGCATCTTCATCTCCATCGACTTCTTCTTCCTCGTCGTCGCTACCTTCTTCTCCTCCGCCTTTAACTTCCTCTTCACTATCGTCGTCGCTGAGAATCACAGTTTCATCTTTGTGCTCCTTATCATCATCAACTCCTGTCATCTTCTTCCGAAAACGAGTAAAGATTTTCCCGAGAAAAATTCGATTTTACTGGAGAATTTGAGGAGAAAGAGAGAGAAAGGTAAGAAGCTTCGACCATCAAGCTCCAAGCAGTACCGTCTTCAAAATTAGATCTTAGCCGTTGAATCTAGATTTCACGCGGATAGGTGACGTGGATTATGATCGGACGGTTTAGAAAAGAGAACAATGTGGTTTTGATGAAACAAGGGTTTTAAAAAGATGCCGCAAGCGCTACAGCGGCGGGCCAAGCTGATTATTGTCCTTTTTGTGAGAATCACACGTGCGACATGTGAGAATATTTCTCAGCGAATATTCTAGTGTCCAAAAAGCATGTTAATGAGATCCAGTATGCTCTTATAAAGGCCCAATGGACTGTAACAAGGCTCAATAGACTCCAAACCTTTTCCGGCGAAAATGTTTTAATTTGCGCAATTTAAGGGAATATGTATTATACAAAAAAAAAACCGCAAATTTTTGTTGTTGTCTTCATGTCAAAGTTCATTAGAATGTAGAATGTCCAACGGCCTTTTTTCATCTACAACATAGGGTAGAAACTAGAAATGGTACTAGCATCCATGGTACATGGTAAATTTAAGAACAATTGGGTCGCAATTTGATATACGGCCACGAGGTTTAAGTTCTTATATGTATAGATGTTATTACCGTTTTTACAGTATCCAAATGGCTAATATCCTATATAACTTACAAAAAAAGCTCATTGAGCTTTTTAAGTAAAATTTGAGTTAGTTTTAAGAGCAGGATTAATCCGATATCCAATAAGGTATCTTAAGATTATTTTCTAATTTTTTTAATCAGCTAGATTAAAAATATTTTAAGAGACGTTTCTTATTTCGCGGCGATAAAAGACGGTTTCTTCTTCCACGTGGCAACTCTTCTAAGTTTCATAATAATAAAAAAGACTACGAGATACAAATGGGTATGTAGCGATAATCATGGTCTAAAATATTTTTTGTTTATATAATTACCTATTTTTTAAAACGAATTAGGTTGGAATCTCTTTAAAGTATCTTAATACACCATTGTTAACTAGCCCCAAATATTATTTTCCATAAAGTCCATGTAAATAATAAGTCTTTGCTTTGCAATTAGATTCTGAATTCATTTACTAAATACTTGATTGTTTGATCATTAATGGAAAAATGGCTCATCAAAACGCTTCTAGTTCAGTAATTAGACGTCGCGGTGTGATTTTTGCTTTCCACGCGATAACACCACAAATTAGAAGTATGTCTTTGTGATGGAGTAGTGGAAGCTAATAGGCAGAGACGTAACGATGAACGAGTGATTTGTAAGCGATGGTTTTGTGGGTATTGAGAAAATCAAAGTCTTCCTCTCAGGGCTTTGTACAAGAAAGCTCTTGGGAAACTTGAGTTTCCTCCTTTTTGGGTTTTTTATAAATTTTATTAAAAAAGAGTTGAAAGCAAAACAAAACAATGGATCCTTTATATAGCCTCTAATATTACCCTAGGGCCAATAGGAATCCACACAAAAAAAAAACTTAATACCAACCTAATTAGGAAATAAAAGAAATGAGAAACACCAATGACGTAACTCTCGTAATTTAGATAAGGATGCTCTGCATCAAATCCCCCGGGTAGAAGGAGATTCGCCCTAGAATCTGAATCATCATTTTCCCCATGATACGGATAGAGATACTTAACATTAAAAATATCTGCAGTGCGAACATGTGGCGGCAAACGTAAACGATAAGCATTAGCATTTATACGCTTCACAATCTCAGTTGGACCAATCTTTCGGGAACGAAGTTTGTTGTACTCATTAGCAGACATTCTGTCCTTAGTCATGATGACCCAAACTAAGTCTCTAGGACGGAACTCAACCGCACGGCTGATGTCATGTCAACTGCGTGAGGGAACAAGTTTTACCCTTAACAAAAACAAATGAAAGTCGCAAGTGCACAACTAATCAGTTGTAGTATTTAGGGATCAAATCCACAGAGATTTGTGTGCCTGGTATTTTTCTACGGTTTTTAACTTTATGTTTAGACTAGATTGATTTTAAAGGTTGGTTGTTTGTCACAAATTAAACTAAAACAAAGGAAAGCAAATAAATATATCCTAGAAAGCAAGTAGAAAAATCGAATGGAAAGCAAGTAAAGCAAGTAAATGTCGAACTAAGGCAATTGAAATGCAGATCTAAATAAGCAAATAAAAATCGATTGGTTTGTAAACTATGGCTAAAAACGCTGAGCTTTTGGGAACTCTAAGGGATCATAATCAGTTTTAACACTAGGGTGGATAGATTGGGATTGACGGATATCGATATATAGGTGGTTCTAGAGCTAGAGTACGGCGGTATTACTATGTCACTGTTGTGATCATAACCAACTGTTTCTCGGAACCTTGACCAGTAGGTTTCCACTCTGGCCCTGGAAGGGAGAGAACGCAAGAGCTGCACAAGACTCGTCAATACTCACGATCTCGCCGCAAGTAGGTTTCCACTCCTACGGAAAAATCGCCTGTTTCATTCTAGGGCTGATACTTAATGTAAACTTTCGCAACACTAACTATCTAGATCAGATACTAGGTAATCAATCAAGCATACATGCAATAAGAACAAGAATAAACAGAGAACAGGTCGAAATCCCAGATCTATAAACCTAGATGTCTTAATCGATTATGAGAGCCCCTTTCGGGAACCCTAAGCCCAACTCGGGATCTACTCAGACATGGCTGAGGTCGACATCATCATTGGTTTTAATAAAAGTAATGAAAAACAGTAAAGAAAAGAGATGAAGAAAGCTTCTCTATTGAAGAACTCGGACTTGAACAATCTTCTACAAAAATCGCATAAAAACGGCTAAAGGAAAAAGGTTTCTGTAAAGTATGAAGGGTTGTGTCTAAAAACGACCTAAATGACAAGTATTTATAGTCTTCAATACTCCATGGTCTCTAGGGTTCCGGAATTGAGTCTGAGAATGACTTTTGGCTTCAGAAATATGGGCTTTAATTCGGAGCTTGATGGCCGCGGTCGGAAGTGACGTGACCGCGGGGAATAGGTGCTTGGCCGCTATCGGGAGGCTTGTGACCACGGGAAATAGGCTGCTGGCCACGGTCGCGTGACTTGTTGGCCGTCTTCGAGTGGCTCCGGGGCTAATGGAATATCTTGAGATCCAACCGTTGGAATGTCTTCAAACCAAATGTATTTGAAAGCTGGTTGATTCTTCTATAAGTTGTCCAATTTTGAGGGTGATCAGACGGTGAGAAGGTCTTCGTCTCTCCATGAGAGTTCTGACGGTCTGCATTTATCCAAAAGAGTCTTTTTGTTCCAATTTGTGTCTCTTTATCCCAAATTACCTGAAAAGTCTTTTAAAATCCAAAAACATAGAAATCCTTTGAAAACCTTTGGAAATAGAGTAAAAACACCTGTAAAAGATATTAAAGTGATCCATAAAAATGGTCAAAATCCGGTGTTATCAACTCCCCCAGACTTAGTCTTTTGTTTGTCCTCAAACAAAACAAAGGCTAAATCTCGGCGAGAGGTTTGAAAACGCAGGAACTAAACAAAATCTCAGAGACCAAACTTCTAGACCAATATCAATCAGTATGCATCAATCGGGAATAGCATAGAAAATTCTCACTAGCAATACATGCATAACTAGTCCGTTAATCCGTCATGCGGAAATCTATGCACTAAGATCTAACTTCCAGTCAACTAGCTCTTAACAATTCATTAAAAATCTCGATGGTTCTCATCAAAGAAAGTCTAGGCAAGGCAATCTAGGCTAGGTGTCAAAAGAATTATTATAGGGGTAAGGCTTAAAGTGTTTACGGGTTACCTGAAGATCTAGAGGATGTAGGATACTATGCAAAACCGCAAGAGAGAGTGAAGCTGTTGGTATCCACAGTTTTCAGTCACTTTCTTCTTGCCATAGATTCCTGGTCTTCTTCCTCAGGTTCTCTACTAACTCCCCCAGACTTAGATTTTTGTAAATCTTTCAAAAACATAGCTCTATAAACGCTTAGTAGTAGATGCTTCTTGCTCCACAAATTTCGACAATCTAAGACTCATCAGGCTTTTTGTCTCCCTCTCTCTTTTTTTTTTTTTTTAAGAAAGAGAGGGAACACCTTTAGATATAGAGTCTTAGAGAGCACGAAATTACCAGTTAAAATCTGTCTTGTAAAGCTTCATGAGATTTCTGATACTCTTCCTTCCCAATTCCATTCAGTCTCCTTTGTGAGTGACTGAAAACTGCGTCGCTCCTCTTCTCTCTGACGTTTTTGCACATATCTGCTGATATAAACTAGAGAGAATGCATGAGGATTGAAAACAAGGGTTTTGGGTTTAGGGTATGGTACCAGATAAAGATAAACTGGTCATCTAGGACGACAAAGAGTGGTAAAAGTGAGGGTAGAAGACTATCAGAAATGAGCTAGTATAGGCTATCAGAAATGTCGATGCCTGCCTAAAATCAATGATGAGAAAATTAGATGTCAATATTAAGGTCAAATAAAATGAGCTATTATATCCTGTCAGAAAGAATCTCCATGAATAGAAGTTCTCTGGTGGGAGTTCGTAGTGCAAGTACTCTAGCTACCGCCTAGTATAGTGCTAACCACAAATGAGCTATCATGCATAGTGTAGAAGTGTGCAAGTCTAAATCATCATAGTTTTGTGTCAAACATTCCTGAAAAATACTAAATGTCGAATAGGTTACATATTAAAATTTAAAAAAGTACTTGAAATTTAAAAGCAAAAGCAAGAAAATGATTAGTACGGATAGACATCCTCCCCCAAACTTAAATCACACTGTCCCCAGTGTGAAAAAGTTGGTGAGAAGATGGTGAATAAAAGCGAAATAAAATAAGATAAAAAAAAAGAAAATGATGATAGAATCGTGATGGTAGTGAAGTGCTGATCAATCACTCATCCTCTGATGTGTCTGCTGCGAACTGGTGCTGCTCCTGTAGGAAGGTGACAACGCGCTCAAAGCGTCGTCCTTGTCTCTCAACTCTGCGCTCCAGATCAGAATGTGTGTGCGATGATGTCGATGATGAGGTGTGGCCGGTCGAAACAGATGGCTGAAAGTGAGCACGGGCCGCAGCTGCATCGCG